AACGTTGATTCAACCAGTTTTTGCCCAGTGGGAAGGCTATTTGGGTTGAGCGAAGTGGATGAAATTCCTTGAAGTGTCACAAGAGCTGTTGTGGGCTCCAGGAGTCAAATTCCATTTCACAGCAGATGTGCAAACTACACACCCAGGGTGACTGGCAAAGCTTTATAATGTGGTTTATTTCATGGCAAGATGCTATTTTATATACAGGCTTTCAGGGCTTCTTACAAGTGAAATGGGACTACAGCCACTTGTAAAAACAAGCGCCTGTAACCATTGTCTCTTAAAAACAATGGTTTGCCTGTAGTTAGCTGGACTAAACCAGACAGTAAGGTTAACATGAAAGGTGCAACAGACCAATGATTGTCATGGGAGATAAAATACATATTTCAGGTAAATGTTCTTTCTTGCACAATATGCAGTAAAACACAATTACAAAGACATACACTATCAACAGGCAGTCACACATTTACAGTAAACACACACACACACATACACAGGCAGACGTACACTACGTGCGCACGCAAACACACACACACACACACACACGTCAACAGGAGGCAGTCATCCAGGCATGTAGATGCCTGTTTTCTAAGGCACACAGTCGTGATATTGTGGAGATAATCCTCTGAAAAATTATCCTTTTCTTACTATCACCTGCAGTGGAACGTGTGGGCACAGCAACCCTCCAACCTCAGGAGCCTGATCTGTCGCTACAGCAACAGCCATCCACTGACTAGCTCCACATTTCTAGGAGGTACAGAATACCAAGAAGCACACACAAGGGGGCTTGATTGATACTCATCTCAAATGTGTTTCTCTAGTCTAGGAGGTTGAGATTTTGAGAAACAGTGACAGAAATCGATCACTCAATCGATGTTTGTGAGTCCATTGTAGAATAGAAAGAAAGGTGATTATTAGACGTGATGGCTGTCTAATGGATATAGACATTAACGGTGCCTGTCTCTTTAAGAGCTGGTCCTTGGCAGGTCTGTGCTGTTAAGTGGGGAGGTGGATCCCTGCCTGTCTTTCTTCTGCCTCTTGTTTCTCTGACAGGCTTTTTGATCAACAAACTCCTCCGTGCTGCCTGCCTGCTCCTGAACGTGTGTCTGTGTTTCTCTATTATGTGTTTTTAATTGTTTGTGAAAGCACGTGTTCCTACTCGCTCTACCTGAGGATTCTTATTCAGTGGTGAGGTGACCACCTTCAGCTCAGGTGTGTAACATACATAAAGTGTGTGTGTGTGTGTGTGTGTGTGTGTGTGTGTGTGTGTGTGTGTGTGTGTGTGTGTGTGTGTGTGTGTGTGTCTATACAATTATAGGCAATTGTAACCTTCTTTAGGCAATATATTGTATTGTTTTGCAAATGAACCAGAATCAGAATTGCTGATTAGGGTTGTGGCATAAAGTACATGAAAATGTGTGTGGACATCTTGGTGAGTTATCTAATCTTGGTTAGATGGTGATTTTATGTTTATGCTAAATTGTGACCTGCAATTTGCATATTTAAAGAACATCTTGGTATCTTCTTGTTGTACTTAAAACTGAATTAAAAACCTGTTTTGCCACAAACCTACATGGAAAACGCACATTTGAAGTACAGTAATGTAATAAGTAAGATCGTAATGACTGAATGAAACAAAACCAAGTACATTGTTATTTTAATTTGATGCTATTTGTCAGTAGTTTGATTGAATTCTACACAAAGTGGTGGAGCAATCAATGACTGTTAGCATTTGAAAATCAGCCACTATGGTCTTGTTATCATTCAATTGACCATTTACGCAATATGGTCAACAATTATCAGTGTTGGATTACAGTCAGTATTCTGAATAATGTGAGGGATGTTCTTTCTGGATGTTTTATCCTTGACACTCCATTAGTGGTTCAGGGACATAAGCACAAATAGCACTTCCAATAAAGGGTTAATTCTGAGATAAAATCCCACATGACCATTTATTGAAAAATGACATTTGAATCCGTTTCTGGGGAAAATTGCAATGCTGCGTCTCAACAGCAAAACATATGACTGCTGGCACAGTTGTGAAGGAAGAAAATGATGGTGCCAAGAATATCACAGGAGATCCTAAACTCACACCTCTGCTATTTCCTACAGATGGACCGTAAAGACAATCAGTAATTTACAGTTGCCACAGCGATAGAGCAACATTTAGCTAAGAAGACTATATAGTGAGAACAGGAGTGGGTGGGGTGAAGTACAGGCCAAAGTATTTTTGATTCCTGTGATTGGAAAAATGTAATTTAATTCAGCAGTTGATCACAAAACATTTATGTTATAGCCAAAGGAGAAAAGGGACAGAAGGTAGGCCTTAATCAAGATAGCTGCACTCAAGTCTCTACTGAAAGCAGGAAACAGAGTAATCTTGCGGAAGGTCTATTGAAGTCTGACCTGTATCTGATTGATGAAGAGCCAGGCTGAGATGTGCTGCCTGATGTTAGAACGTGTCACCTGCTGTAGCTGTGAACCCACAGGAAATACCCTCACATCTCTCTGCCAGTCTCTATCAATGTACTGAGAGAGATGGGCCCTATCCACATCCCTGTGGGAAACACATAGGGCACATGGAAAATGTATCTTCAGAAAGGAGAACAGGTGAGAAAAGGAAGGATGGAAGGATCTCAATGTCATCAATGTAGATTTTGTGTCAGAAAGGCCAGTACATGTTACACATGTTAGATTTTTGTGAGTGTGAGAAACAAATCCATACGATTCATTTGTTGGGTTTATATTTACATTTATAATATTCTTGCCAACACTTGAGCTAGAACAGACAGCGTCCCTGATAATTTACATGGAATCCAGCGCATCAAGGACAATGGACTGTGGCTATTTAATGTGGCATGGGGAGAAAGCCCTCCTATTATGGAATTAAAACTCCTCTTGGGTTTCCCGTTCAAAGCAGGGCCCGGCCACCCGAGTGGCGCAGCGGTCTAAGGCACTACATCGCAGTGCTTGAGGCGTCACTACAGACCCGGCTTCGATCCCAGGCTGTGTCGCAGCCGGCCGCGACCGGGAGACCCATGAGGTGGCGCACAATTGGCCCAGTGTCATCTGGGTTAGGGGAGGGTTTGGCCGGCCGGGATGTCCTTGTCCCATCGCGCTCTAGCGACTCCTGTGGCGGGCCGGGCGCATGCACGCTGACATGGTCGGCAGTTGTACGGTGTTTCCTCCGACACATTGGTGCGGCTGGCTTCCGGCTTAAGCGAGCAGTTTGTCAAGAAGCAGTGCGGCTTGGCGGGGTCGTGTTTCGGAGGACGCACTGGCTCTCGACCTTCGCCGCTCCCGAGTCCGTACGGGAGTTGCATCGATGAGACAAGAGTGTAACTACCAATTAGATATCACGAAATTGGGGAGAAAAAGGGGTAAAATTGTTTTACAAAAATAAATAAATAAATCAAACGAAAATAACAGGGTCCATGTTGGCTTTCATTAGCAGCTCACAGAGCTCCATTAGGCTATAGCGGGGAAGGGGCCAGTTGTTGCCCAGTAGCCACATTCACAACGGCTATTGAATGGAATCCCAGAATGACAATTGGGAGATTACTGAGAAGTATATGAAAACTCAAGCCAAGGGTAAGGCTGAAAGGTATAGCTCCCAACCCCTTGCTCTTAGTTTGCTCCATTCCAGGAAGAGCTGGAAAGGTCAACTTGCCATTGCATAGAAAAGTGAGGACAGCACCTTCATCTGGATAAGATATTTAGATGGACCTGGATAGGGTCAAGTCGGCTGACTGCCAAGTGGATATCAAAAATGTAAGTTCAAGTGCTGTGTGGCGGCAATGTAAATGTGATATACCTGAGTCACTGCATACTCTAGCCATTTAAATGGTTTAGCAGACTGCTGTAAGCAAAGAGACCACGCTCACATGTCACATAGGTAACTAATAGCAACGATATAGCACAGTTGGAGGAGCAGGTTTATGCAGTAACCTTGGATGCAGTAACACTGCACTGATCTCAAGAAGACATAATGGTCAGTTCTCTCTCTAACAGAAGTTAGGTGACAGTCTGTATATGTGTATGGTGGGTGGCGCTGAGAGAGAGAGGTGGCACTGGAGTGGTGTGGTCTTGTTGTAAATGTCCAGTATTAAATATTCACACAATGTTGTAAATTATTGAGTGTCGGAAGACTGTCGAGGTGATCAGGTTTCTTTCAGTTTGATCTTTGGGGGAGTTGGAGGAGTGTTTCAGCGCTCCTGACTAACAGCACGCTTCATTTTGGTAAACTGAGTAAGCATAGCCCCTCTTCTGAGTTCTGGAACTACTGAGAAATAGAGCTGAGTAATATCGGGAAAGAGATCTAGGCTGATACTAGGTTTTGTTGGCTTCAATAGTTGTAACTGTTTCTCTCCAGAACCAACACTTGTCCTTGAATGCCATCATGTCTGAGCTGATTTATAACTGGGACACCTGGCTAAGTGTCCTTTATCAAAAAGATGACAGCAGAATAAGAGTTATGAGCCAAGATGTAATAAACCTGCAGGCCTCCGCGACGGAATGTCTCACTCCTGTTCTGTAACCTTTGGAGACCCCTTTGTGGCCATAAGCATGTTTACCTTATGGTAGAGCTGGGACGATAAACTGACACCGACCATACCAATCACTTTTGCTGATATCGTTCATTACGATAAGTAGCCTATACTAGAGAAATGTGAACTTTGAAAGGAAATTGTTGTTAATGGGACAATTGATGGCTACAACCATCAAACTAGTAGTAGTAGTTTAAAGGATAATAAAAAATAAACTGTGGTGCACATTAATGTTAGAAACGTATCGTTCTATTTATCGTTATCACATCAATTCATACAATTTATTGCCATATTATTTTTTGTCCATATCGCCCAGCTCTACCTTATGGTAGAGATTTATGTCATGCCAAAGATAGATGTACCTACATTCGAGTCCTGTGTATCGGCACAACGTTAACCTCCTAAAGCCTAAGGAGGAATCTTCTGTGCTCCATTTCAGATCCCCTTTGCATCATGCCTCTGAGAGACTCAGTCACGCTGCTGCTCTGGAGTTGCTGTATACTACTGCTCGTCCACCAATGCGAGGGTCAAGGTAAGGCATTTGCTGCATGTCAATCAGTGCCCTCAAATAATAAATGGCTCAAGGCTAGCTAGTAGCCACCCACTACAGCAGTACATACTGTATACCGGTATGTACATCCTATAGTACACACAGTGGGGTCCGAAATTATTGACACCTTTAATAAAGATGATCAAAAATGACTGTATAAAATAAATAATTTAAATACTGAGCTATATTGTATGTTCCCTCTAAGCTGTGTGTGTGCGCGGGGGCGCAGCTCACCGGGACTGCCATGCAGAAGAAATATCAGCCCGCGCAGAGAAGCACGAGATTGAACTTCACTCAACTTTCCCCGTTAGTTAACACTATCAACGTTGACCCTGGTTGCTTCTGTGGGTCGCTCTGGATGGGAGCCTGTTAGATGACTGAATGTAATGTAATGTCAATGTTGAGCGGCTTCCCTGCAAGTAGATTGTATGTTTTAATATTCCAAAATATATTTTTATTTTTTTAAACACTAGCAACGTTTCCCTTTACTGTGGGAGTTGTGATCGAATCAACGCAATATTAGCCACGTTCAATGCAACATACCGAAACAAATTAACTATGCAAGAAATGTTGTTGTAGGCAGAACACATCGGAGTAGGATTCTATTGCATTGACTGTACTCTACACAGACCGGTGCTCCATCACCAATCAGAGCTGCAGTAGGCCTATATGGAACTGTGCCATTCACTTTGAACTTAACTGTTTTTACAGCATGAGTGGTCGTGAGTAGATGCTCTTGTTTTGAGATCAAAGCGAGAGCTAAATGTAGCGACATTTGTTCATATCCTTTGCTAGTTAGTGAGTTATTAGCCCAGTTATAGATCATTTGTAGTCCTCAATGGGGGAGTGATTGCTTCCTACAAGAGCACAAAACGTGTGCATTTCTAGACATCTTTGAAAAGTGAGTCAGGTAAAGAGCTTTTTTGTCTTAAAGGGGCAGTGTTGCATTTTGAGACAGGCTTGAATAAGCTAAGTAGGCAATACGTAGAGGGTAGAATAATATGACTGATTCTCTGTAATAATTGTATTGGAATAATGATGCAAGTGGATAAACAGGTTAATGTCAAGCCCTGCATGTTTTTTTCAAAAGTCTCATGGAATGTAGGCCTACATAGAACACCACACATTGGCTGCTACTGTAGGCTGAATGATAGAACAGCTGTTTCCATGATAAAATGTTATGGGATACTTTTTCTCCATTGTTTTTGATGGTAGGCCACTCTGGTAGGCCTACATTATGATCAAATAGCCACAGTAGCCTACTTGACCACTGTTAAAACTAACTTAAAGCGGGTACAGCCTCAGTGTTCACAGTAAACGTGCACCGGAAGTTGCACAGAATATTCCCAACGTTTTCAGTGACTAAAAAAATTAGAGGGAACATTGATTGTATGCTAAAGAAATGGTCATTAGGCCACAAAATTACAAAAATATATATCTAAAAAAGATAGGGGTCAAAATGATTCACACCGTTTTCAATACCTTTCAATAACTCACCTTGCAAGGAAAACGGCACTGAGCCTTTTTCTGAAATGTTTTCTGAGTTGGAAAACACATTGGGAGGGATCTTAGACCATTTCTCCATACAGAATCTTTCCAGATACTTGATATCCTTCGCCTGGACTGGCCTCTTCAATTCAAACCACAGGTTTGAGATGGCCATTGCAACATTTTGATTTTGTGGCCAATTAACCATTTCTCTAGCATACAATATTGCTCAGTATTTGAATTATTTATTTTATACAGTCATTTTTTGCTAATCTTTATCAGGGGTGTCAATCATTTCGGACCCCACGGTATATGTACTCCTAGACAGAGAGCCCTGGCAACTGTACATGTGAGTACATCTGATACTGTATGTAGGGTAACTATCGGGTTGAAGCCAAAGGAGCAATACGATTTCTGCTTGCTGATATAAGTAAACAAAACTCTGTTAAAAACATACATCAGAAGTAGTTTGATTTAGAATGATTAAATACAAAATTTAAATAAAAAGAAACAAGCAAGATGTTGTGTACAATAACAAATATGTAGACTCAATAAAACATTGTTTAAAGCATGAAGTACAGATTCTTAACTGCATTTCAATTTAAACTTTGAACATTGCTGTCTGTGCGTGAAGAATCATGTTTTTGAATCAGTCATAATCTGCCCTCAGTACGGAGTGGAATATCACAAACGGAGATGCTTTTTCTCTCCTTCTCCCTTCCCCGTGAAATTCCTGTCTGGTTAAAGAATGTGATTCATTTTGGCGTCGCCCCCTGGGGTGAGAAGGGGAGCCGTGATGTGGTAGGAGGCATTGTGTCAAGAGGTGTGACACGTGTATCAGAAGACAGGAATGCCCTCTGTGTTACAGCAGTAGCCACTAGCCATGGGGTTTGCTTTAAGGATAAAGGGTCGTAGAGCCTTTCCCGACCTGTCTACGTCTTCAGGCCCTGCCAAGCGCCTCAGTGCCATGGGATAAGGCAGTTGATGATCCCTGCTCTGCCGTCCTGCCTAAATATTTTTCTAGCGGCGCAAACAGCTGAGTGGATACAGAGATTGAATGATCCTTAATTTCTCAAGGATCTGGTTACGATTCCCTCAGCTCCTTCAGACGCTGGTGCCCCCTCGCACGTCCCTCCTTACCCCTTCCTCCTCAATCTGGATTTAGGACACGCGTGCGCGTGGGCTGGGATCAAAATGGAGGAAACCGAAACCTGTGCTGCGAGTATAACTGGCACCAAAGCACTTGCCGTGGCGTGAGCAGGGAAGGATGGGAGGTGGGGATAAAGTTTCATGGCCAGGAGTAAATTTAGATCCTTCTGGTTTTAACATGAAGAGACAGCGCGGCCGGTGTGTAAAGTACCCCTCCAGAGGAGCACCGGGGAGCTTGCAGGCTCTGAGGGCCAGACTGCGGAAGAAAACAGCACCTGTCCCCCCATGATTAGATGGTAAATCAGAAGCTCTTAAAGAACACTGCTCCAAACAAAGGACAGTGTGTTTAACAGTTGGTGGTCCAGTCATTATTTCCATGATTATCTGGTGATACATAAGCTGGTGACAAGGCCCTGGTCCAAAGCCTGAATACATACGATATCACCACCCTGCATTCTATGAATGACATGTTGACAACTTACTAAGTTACTACAATACTACAGTGTACTGTATATACACCAGTGGAGGCTCCTCAGAGGAGGAAGGGGAGGACCATCCTCCTCAGTGAATTTCATAAAAATAAAACATTAAACATTGAAAGTTATAATTTTTTAGATAAAACTATACTAAATATATTCACGTCACCAAATAATTGATTAAAACACACTGTTTTGCAATGAAGGTCTACAGTAGCCTCAACAGCACCCTGTAGGGTAGCACCATGGTGTAGCTGGAGGACAGCTTCCGTCCTCCTCTTGGTACATTGACTTCAATACAAAACCTAGGAGGCTCTTGGTTCTCACCCCCTTCCATAGACTTACACTATAATTATGACAACTTCCGGAGGAGGTCCTCCAACCTATCAGAGCTCTTGCAGCATGAACTGACATGTTGTCCACCCAATCAAAGGATCAGAGAATGAATCTAGTACTGAAAGCATAAGCTACAGCTAGCTAGCACTGCAGTGCATAACATGTGGTGAGTAGTTGACTCAAAGAGAGAGAGAAAAATACATTAGTTGAACAGTTTAACAAATTAATTTCTTTAAAAATGGAGAAGCAAGAGAGAGCGAATGCAGCTGGCAAATGCAGCTGGCTAGTTTAGTTACTCAAACACCTGGCTCAAACAGAGTTAGCTAGCTGGCTATGACTATCCAACAACACTGGAACTGTTCCAAATCAAGGTAAACGTTTGGTTTTATTAATTTATTGCCACCAGGGCTCACCGGTGTAACTGCTTACTGACTATACACTAACGTTACTGCATGATTGTAGCGGGTTTACTAACACATTAGTTATATTAGCTATGTTGACTAGGACGTTACTTTAGCTAATATGGGGACAACGATGTAGGCTGTGTGTAGCGGCTATGACATGGTTTGGCTTGGAAAGGTTTTTTCGCCTGGTCACATACAGCTGATGTGTTGTTCATTGAAGTCCACAAACTAAGGGAAAAGGTGAGAGGAGGAGAGTGCATAGAGGCGAGAAGGAATACAACGTGGCTGTTATGAAAGTGAACTGTGTATACGCGTGATCAGGGGTGTATTCATTCCGACGATTCTGTTGAAAAACGTTTCTTAAACGGAAGCAAACGAAACGGGGATAAAAATACCTGAATTTGTCCAATAGAAACTCTTGTTTGCAACTGTTGGACTAATGATTACACCCTATATAAGCTAGATGCAGGCAAGAGTGTGCAAGGCGGTATTGAACGTGTCACTGTCTGTCCAGGTGTCACTGTCTGTCATCTCAAGTTTATCTCAACCTGTGTGCACCTACGTTGTAAACTTTCATTCATAGGCTAGGTTGAAGTAACCTCATGATGGGTATAGAGAAAATTAGAGTATCATGTGGTAGCCTAAACCTATCGATGTTACATTGAACTGGGTGAATGGAATATGAATGACAGTCATCCAACATGCTGTAATAGAATTAAGGCCATGCTCATCAAATAAATAAATAATCCTCCCTCATCATAAACGGCACTGACCGCCACTGATATACACAGTTGTCATTGTTAATATTCTGAAAATGTTTATACTGTATAGAATTTTTTGTTATCTTGCTCAATAATCAAGCAGCTGGGGGACTTCGTCCTGATTAGTTTAGGACTATTTTTCCTTATTCCAAGTCGTCCAGAATGCATTCTGTTGCTGATTCTGAGCCCTGGGTCTAGTTGTGTCTTCAAGGTTCCAGTCTTAGCAGAGCTGGAGGGAACCTATTACAAACACACAAAGCCCACCACAGGGACAGGGAATGGGGCTGGCCAGACAGGCTTCCCTGGCAGACAGTGGCTGGGACTAGTTTTCTCTGAATTGCTGCAGGGCCAGCAGCAGGAATGAGAGGCAGGCGGGAGGGCTGCTGTACTTTCCTGGACCTCTGAGAGCAGGCTGACTTGTCTGTCCACACTCTGCAGTGATCAGACGGCTGTCTGTCCGTCTACCCTGGCCTGCTCATTCCCTCCCTACGGACATGTGCATGATATGTGCAGTATGGCTGCCCAAGCCTTTGGCGCACGCCCATCCTGCATACTCCTTCTCCTCTCTGTCCCTCTCACTCATTGTGATGCTCACTGTAGTCCAAGTCAGACTGCAGGCTAGCTCCACTTCCATCCCCTTAAATTCTCAATCTGTCTTTCTTCCTACCAGATATAACACACTTCACACAGTGCTTCAAGATGCTTTGAAGTTTACTCTAATAAACCATGCAGAAAAAAGTTGGAAACAAAAAAGGGCCTCCATGCAGCTTTACCACTAGGGATGAGAATTCAGAGAGCAAATTACAGAAATATGCTCCCATCTAAACCTCAGGCACTGGCAGCATGGGGTAAATGGCACCTGAAGGATTGTTGATGTTGTGTACTGTGACATCCTCCATGCCATTTTAGGACACCGTACAGGACAAGCAAATGGCTGGATCAGGGCTCAATTCAATTGTTCTTGCTTTGTGTACACAGTAGCATTTTAACATATTTATTTCCGGTGGTCATATAAAATTGCAAAATGTTCCTAGATAGACACGCATATGTAATAGAAGGTTTAATTCAGCCTTAAGTCATATAAGATGCCACAAGTGTGCTGTTATATTCAACTAATCATGCTTTTAAAAGAGCACAGTTTAATTTGTGCATGTCAAAAACATAAATTAGGTCTCTGAAAATATAACAGCTTACAGCATTATTCCCATTGTCAGTGGGATTTCTTATTTGTTTAATAGCTTCCCTGTTTAGAATACATGAGCTAATGCATTTCATTGTTCAAGTTCCGCTTTGTTCCCACGGACACATGGCTTACTGCAGCCAACTGTCGTGTTGTTCATGGAAAATGCCTGCCATTCCACATCAATCCAATGAGTTTCTGCAGCATTGTATGCATTCGCAACTGAAGGATAACTCAATTGTCTTATGGTACAGATTATAATTGCCAAAGCTACACTATTCTAAATGTTGAGATGTGAAGACGCAACAAAAATAAGAAATATAGTCAGTTGAGCTGAGAAACTAAAGCTAACAGACCAGGCTATATGAGAAAGTTTACTATTGTATATCAAAGAAAGAATTGGTATAAGTTACTGCTCAGGTAACAAAGATAATAGCTGTTATACTGTAAGAACTCTGCTCTAAAAATCCCTCTGTATAGTGAAAGGGTTTGGGTAAAGTACTACAGTGTGGGAGGTGAGACAAGGAGTGATTGTGAATTCCAGTGGTGTTTGGGCAGAGTTTGTGCGGGCAGAGACATGACTGTACGGCATCCCTCTCCTCCCACCACACGCGCTCCCCTCGTGCTGCTCACCGCTACCACACACCATACCTGGCAAGCCCCCATTATTTACTAAAGCCAAGTACAGACAGTACATAGGTATGCCTAAGGCCAGCCAAATCCACTAGTAATAACAACTGATGACAATAAGAGATTAATCACATATCCCTTTAGTAGTAAATGCTTGCCAGTTTATGGGGATGTTTAATTACTCAGCAATGCAGCTTTAGTTACCTTTCTGCAAACCAATAGCATATAATTCATAGTCAGATACAATCATATAAAACCCCAAGTGAAATCAAAGTGTGTGACTCATCATGTGGGCATTCGTCTACCCTCGTCCCCACTCCCAAGGTTTCAAGTTGTATTAGTCATATGTTATACAATGTCCAACGAAATGCTTATTGCAGGTTCCTTCTCGATAATGCAACAACAATAAGAAATAATAAAATATAAGAATATGAACATAAAGTAAATGGCTCAGTAGAATAGAATAAACATGTTAGCATAAGTATAATACAGGAAGGCACAATTTATAGTACAGTATTTACATGTATCAGGGAGGGAGGGATTGGGGGGAAAGTGTTTAAATTGTGCAGTATTAGCAATAGTGTGTGTGTGTGTGTGTGTGTGTGCATGTGCATGTGTGCTAAGGTGCGGAGAGTCAGTGCAGGTGGTCAGTCCAGTTCAAGTGTTCAGCAGTCTGATGGTTTGTAGATAGAAACAGTCTCTGAGCCTGTTGATATCAGACCTCATGCTCCGATACCATCTGCCCGACGGTAAGGGAGTGAACAGCTCGTGGCTGGGATGATGCTGCCGGACTTCCTCAGGCACTCTCAAGTATATCTCCCGGATGGGTGGGAGCACGGTCCCAGTGATATACTGGGCTGTCTTCACCACCCGCTGGAGGGCCTTTCGGTCGTGGATGGAGCAATTCCCGTACCAGGCCATGATGCAACTGGTCAGGATGCTCTCGATGGTGCAGCAGTAGTATTTGGAGAGGGCCCAGGGTGGCATTCCGAATTTCTTCAGCCGCCTTAGGAAGTAGAGGCGCTGTTGCGCCCTCTTGACAAGAGTGGTGGTGTTGATGGTCCATGTCAAATCATCGGTGACGTGGACACCAAGGAACTTAAAACTGCTGACTCTCTCTGCTGCAGTCCCGTGGATGTGGATCGGGGCGTGTTCCCTCCTCTGCTTCCTGAAGTCAAAAATCAATTCCTTTGTTTTGCTGATGTTGAGGAAGAGGTTGATGTCCTGGCACCACAATGCTAGTTCACTTACCTCCTCCCTATAGGCTGACTCGTCGTTGTTGGTTATCAGGCCTACAACCATGTTGTCGTCAGCAAACTTGATGATGGAGTTGCTGTCGTGCAAACCCACACAGTCGTGGGTGAACAAGGAGTACAGCAGAGGGCTGAGAACACACCCCTGGGGGGCACCTGTGTTAAGAGTCAGTGTGAAGAAGGTATTGTCAAGATGGCGCCAACGGAGAAGGGTGACATCTTACGAGTTCCAACCAGTCTTTTTTCATGTTAATCTTTATTATTTTTGTGCAGAAAGTTCATTCTATTATCAAATATGACGCCAAGCACTTATGGACATCAGACCGACATTTACTAACCTCGATTTCAACTTCAAATCCGACCTCAACTCTGACTCAGCTGTTCCCTTGTTCATACCAGACCCCATTCATTTGTTTCATGGGCTACCAAAACACCACAGGTTTAGACGCGGGAGATGTGCTGGCATCCTGATGAGATTGAGACAAAGAGAATATCGACTGGCACCCCGGTCCATTTTATTGGCAATTGTCCAGTCACTTGAGAATAAGATAGATGAGCATCGTTCTAGAGTCTCCAATCAGAGAGACTTGAAAAGCTGCAATATTATATGCCTTACAGAGACATGGCTGGATGACTATGTACGTAGGACTCAGTGGTTTCTCAATGCAGCGGCACAATCGGACAAAGGCGGCCTCGGACAAGTCCAAAGGGGGAGGGGTGTGTCTCTTCATAAACAACAACTGCTTCTAGTGTGAAGGAAATTTCGAGCTTTTGCTCACCTGATATAGAATACCTCATGGTAAGCTTCAGAGTGTTTTATCTACCAAGAGAGTTCTCATCTGTAATCATTACAGCTGTATACATCCCTCCACAAGCCAACACCACTTTGGCACTCAACAAACTGTATGGGGCCATAAACAAACAAGAAACTGCTTACACAGAGGCAGCGTTTCTTGTTGGCGGAGATAAATGAGTGGAGACTTAAAACCATTCTACCTCACTTTTACCAGCACGTTTCCTGCGCCACTAGGGCCGCTAAAACTCTAGACCACTTTTAATCTACCCACAGAAACACATACGGCACTCCCTTGTCTTCCCTTCGGCAAATCTGACCATGACTCTATTCTCCTGCTTCCTGTTTACAAACAAAGCTCAAACAGGAAGTAACAGTGACGCACTCAATACGGAAGTGGTCCATTGAAGCAGACACAAGGCTGCTTCATTGGACTAGTACAGACTGGGATATGTTCCGTTATCCATTCAATAACATTGAGGAATTTACCACATCAGTCATGGGCTTCATCAATAAGTGCCTAGACAATGTCGTCCCCACAGTGACTATACGAACGTATCCAAACATAAAACCATGGATTACCGGCAATATCCACGCTGGGCTAAAGGCTAGAGCTAAAACTTTTAAACAGGTTAACACTCGCAAGGCCCAGACGAAATACCAGGGCGTGTTCTCAAAGCATGCACAGACCCTCTGGCAAGTGGGTCTCTCCAGGTGGTGAGGGTAGGCTCAACACCTCTGCCACGCTGACCCTCAACACGGGGGCCCCTCAAGGGTGTGTGCTTAGTTCCCTCCTGTACTCCCTTTTCACCCATGCCAACACCATCATCAAGTTTGCTGACGACACGACGGTGGTAAGCCTGATCAACGACGGAGTGGTCAGAGATTTGGCAGTGTGGTGCCATGACAACAACCTCTCCCTCAACGTCAGTAAGACCAAGAAACTGATTAACTCTTTAGTCATATCCCAGTTCACCTATTTGCTTATGGCCCTGCCTACACCTAACCTTTTTTTAATTATATGAGCAAAAAATCTTCCACTTTATTTGGAACGGCAAGCCAGATATAATTAAAACGGGCCTATTTATGTAAGGAATATGAATTCAGAGGGCAGAAATGATTGAATATTAAAGCATTGGACCTCTCACTAAAGGCTTCAGTCCTACAAAAGCTATACTTAAATCCGAACTAATTCTCCAGCAGATTAGTAAGAATGGCTCATCCCGTGTTCAAGAATGGCCTTTTTCCCTTTCTTCAGATTACAACCTCTCAGTTTCGGTTATTTGGTTCTAAACTAACATATGGAATTGTTTTTAGATGGTCATACCAAGGATCATTTAGCTATTTGATTTTCAATTTTAAGGTATCAAAATACATATATATTGGATGAAACATAGAATTTCGCATTACTGCTATTAGCCAACACAGTGAATAACAGTCAAAAATAATCAAAAGGAAGTTTGTTCTGAAGTGTCTGTCCTGTATCTGAGAGATATAAGAAAGATCAGGAAACAATTTTTTTTACATGTATTTATCCCCTTATTTTAGGCATAAAACTATCTCCATATTTACTTCCATATTTTTTTTTCAACCTTCAGAAGAGTCTTGTAAGGCTTGTGGGCATCCTAGAGTAAAACGGAGAACCCATCATTTTCGTGAGGCCAAACCGTTCGGACACTACAGACGTTTTCGGGATGTCTCACGGTCTGACAAACACCGCTCTAGCTCTGCCACCTTTCACTGCAGATGCGGAAGAGCGATATCGACGGATGTGGTGGAATGAGACGCAGCCCAAGAAAAACATATCTCTAGCTTAAAAGGACGGATTTTGATGGGGATTTTGTTGTGTTAATTCGACTTCTGCGGGGGACAGGAAATTGTCATTTAAGGGGTCATTTAAGGACCCACAAATTTACAGCTGCGCCACACAGGTTGCAAAATAGTTGGGAAGAGATTTTCGATTATGAACCGATACACAAAACGACGCCGGATTCAAAACGTAGAGTTTTTCAATTTAAATTATTATACAAAATTATTGTAACCAATATAATGTTATATACAGTGCATTTGGAAAGTATTCAGACCCCCAGCCTTATTCTAGAATGTATTAAATTGTTATTTCCCCTCATCAATCTACACACAATACCCCATAATGACAAAGCAAAAACAGGTTTTTAGAAATTTTTGCAAAGAAACAAACTGAAATATCACATTTACATAAGTATTCAGTCCCTTTACAGCGATTACAGCCTCGAGTCTTCTTGGGTATGACGCTACAAGCTTGGCACACCTGTATTTGGGGAGTTTCTCCCATTCTTCTCTGCAGATCCTCTAAAGCTCTGGCAGGTTGGATGGGGAGTGTCGCTGCACAGTTATTTTCAGGTCTCTCCAGAGATGTTAGATCGGGTTCAAGTCCGGGCTCTGGCTGGGCACCTCAAGGGCATTCAGAGACTTGTCCCGAAGCCACTCCGGCATTGTCTTAGCTCTGTGCTTATGGTGGTTGTCCTGTTGGAAGGTGAATCTTTGCCACCAGTCTGAGGTCCTGAGCGCTCTGGAGCAGGTTTTCATCAAGGATCTCTCTGTACTTTGCTCCGTTCATCTTTCCCTCGAACCTGACTAGTCTCCCAGTCCCTGCCGCTGAAAAATGTATAACATTTTTGACATGCGTTTTTCTGGATTTCTTTGTTGTTATTATGTCTCTCACTGTTCAAATAAACCTACCATTAAAATTATAGACTGATCATGTCTTTGTCAGTGGGCAAACGTACAAAATCAGCAGGGGATCAAATACTCTTTCCCCTCACTATATATATATATATATATATATATATATATATATATATATATATATATATATATATATATACACACACACACAGTGGGGAGAAGAAGTATTTGATACACTGCCGATTTTGCAGGTTTTCCTACTTACAAAGCATGTAGAGGTCTGTAATTTTTACCATATGTACACTTCAACTGTGAGAGACGGATGTCACACATTGTATGATTTTTAAGTAATTAATTTGCATTTTATTGCATGACATAAGTATTTGATACATCAGAAAAGCAGAACTTAATATTTGGTAAAGAAACCTTTGTTTGCAATTACAGAGATCATACGTTTCCTGTAGATCTTGACCAGGTTTGCACACACTGCAGCAGGGATTTTGGCCCACTCCTCCATAGAGACCTTCTCCAGATCCTTCAGGTTTCGGGGCTGTCGCTGGGCAATACGGACTTTCAGCTCCCTCCAATAATTTCTATTGGGTTCAGGTCTGGAGACTGGCTAGGCCACTCCAGGACCTTGAGATGCTTCTTACGGAGCCACTCCTTAGTTGCCCTGGCTGTGTGTTTCGGGTCGTTGTCATGCTGGAAGACCCAGCCACGACCCATCTTCAATGCTCTTACTGAGGGAAGGAGGTTGTTGGCCAAGATCTCGCAATACATGGCCCCATCCATCCTCCCCTCAATCGTCCTGTCCCCTTTGCAGAAAAGCATCCCCAAAGAATGATGTTTCCACCTCCATGCTTCACGGTTGGGATGGTGTTCTTGGGGTTGTACTCATCCTTCTTCTTCCTCCAAACACGGCGAGTGGAGTTTAGACCAAAAAGCTATATTTTTGTCTCATCAGACCACATGACCTTCTCCCATTCCTCCTCTGGATCATCCAGATGGTCATTGGCAAACTTCAGACGGGCCTGGACATGCGCTGGCTTGAGCAGGGGGACCTTGCGTGCGCTGCAGGATTTTAATCCATGACGGCATAGTGTGTTACTAATGGTTTTCTTTGAGACTGTGGTCCCAGCTCTCTTCAGGTCATTGACCAGGTCCTGCCGTGTAGTTCTGGGCTGATCCCTCACCTTCCTCATGATCATTGATGCCCCACGAGGTGAGATCTTGCATGGAGCCCCATACCGAGGGTGATTGACCGTCATCTTGAACTTCTAATAATTGCGCCAACAGTTGTTGCCTTCTCACCAATCTGCTTGCCTATTGTCCTGTAGCCCATCCCAGCCTTGTGCAGGTCTACAATTTTATCCCTGATGTCCTTACACAGCTCTCTGGTCTTGGCCATTGTGGAGAGGTTGGAGTCTGTTTGATTGAGTATGTGGACAGGTGTCTTTTATACAGGTAACGAGTTCAAATAGGTGCAGTTAATACAGGTAATGAGTGGAGAACAGGAGGGCTTCTTAAAGAAAAACTAACAGGTCTGTGAGAGCCGGAATTGTTATTGGTTGGTAGGTGATCAAATACTTATGTCATGCAATAAAATGCAAATTAATTACTTAAAAATCATACAATGTGATTTTCTGGATTTTTGTTTTAGATTCCGTCTCTCACAGTTGAAGTGTACCTATGATAAAAATTACAGACCTCTACATGCTTTGTAAGTAGGAAAACCTGCAAAATCGGCAGTGTATCAAATACTTGTTCTCCCCACTGTATATATACAGTGGGGAAAAAAAGTATTTAGTCAGCCACCAATTGTGCAAGTTCTCCCACTTAAAAAGATGAGAGAGGCCTGTAATTTTCATCATAGGTACACGTCAACTATGACAGACAAAATAAATAAAAAAAATCCAGAAAATCACATTGTAGGATTTTTAATGAATTTATTAGCAAATTATGGTGGAAAATAAGTATTTGGTCACCTACAAACAAGCAAGATTTCTGGCTCTCACAGACCTGTAACTTCTTCTTTAAGAGGCTCCTCTGTCCTCCACTCGTTACCTGTATTAATGGCACCTGTTTGAACTTCTTATCAGTATAAAAGACACCTGTCCACAACCTCAAACAGTCACACTCCAAACTCCACTATGGCCAAGACCAAAGAGCTGTCAAAGGACACCAGAAACAAAATTGTAGACCTGCACCAGGCTGGGAAGACTGAATCTGCAATAGGTAAGCAGCTTGGTTTGAAGAAATCAACTGTGGGAGCAATTATTAGGAAATGGAAGACATACAAGACCACTGATAATCTCCCTTGATCTGGGGCTCCACGCAAGATCTCACCCCGTGGGGTCAAAATTATCACAAGAACGGTGAGCAAAAATCCCAGAACCACACGGGGGGACCTAGTGAATGACCTGCAGAGAGCTGGGACCAAAGTAACAAAGCCTACCATCAGTAACTCAAATCCTGCTGTTCCAGACGTGTCCCCCTGCTTAAGCCAGTACATGTCCAGGCCCGTCTGAAGTTTGCTAGAGTGCATTTGGATGATCCAGAAGAGGATTGGGAGAATGTCATATGGTCAGATGAAACCAAAATAGAACTTTTTTTTAAAAACTAAACTCGTCGTGTTTGGAGGACAAAGAACACCATACCTACTGTGAAGCATGGGGGTGGAAACATCATGCTTTGGGGCTGTTTTTCTGCAAAGGGACCAGGTCGACTGATCCGTGTAAAGGAAAGAATGAATGGGGCCATGTATCGTGAGATTTTGAGTGAAAACCTCCTTCCATCAGCAAGGGCATTGAAGATGAAATGTGGCTGTGTCTTTCAGCATGACAATGATCCCAAACACACCGCCCGGGCAATGAAGGAGTGGCTTCGTAAGAAGCATTTCAAGGTCCTGGAGTGGCCTAGCCAGTCTCCAGATCTCAACCCCATAGAAAATCTTTGGAGGGAGTTGAAAGTCTGTGTTGCCCAGCGACAGCCCCAAAACATCACTGCTCTAGAGGATATCTGCATGGAGGAATGGGCCAAAATACCAGCAACAGTGTGTGAAAACCTTGTGAAGACTTACATAAAATGTTTGACCTGTGTCATTGCCAACAAAGGGTATATAACAAAGTATTGAGAAACTGTTGTTATTGACCAAATACTTATTTTCCACCATAATTTGCAAATAAATTCATAAAAAATCCTACAATGTGATTTTCTGGATTTTTTTTATTTATTTTGTCTGTCATAGTTGACGTGTACCTATGATGAAAATTACAGGCCTCTCTCATCTTTTTAAGTGGGAGAACTTGCACAATTGGTGGCTGACTAAATACTTTTTTGCCCCACTGTGTGTGTGTGTGTGTATATATATATATATATATATATATATATATATATATATATATATATATATATATATATATATATATATATATATATATATATATATACACACACACATATATACACATATATATGTGTATGTGTATATATGTATGTGTATATATGTGTGTGTGTGTGTGTGTGTGTGTGTATGTATATATATATATATATATACACACACACACACACACACACACACACACACACGTATATATATACACACTACCGTTCAAAAGTTTGGGGTCACTTAGAAATTCCCTTGTTTTCGAAAGAAAATCAATTTTTTTGTCCATTAAAATAACATCAAATTGATCAGGAAATACAGTGTAGACATTGTTAATGTTGTAAATGGCTATTATAGCTGGAAACGGCTGATTTTTAATGGAATATCTACATAGGCGTACAGAGGCCCATTATCAGCAACCATCAGTCCTGTGTTCCAATGTCACGTTGTGTTTGCTAATCCAAGTTTATCATTTTAAAAGGCTAATTGATCATTAGAAAACCCTTTTGCAATTATGTTAGCACAGCTGAAAACTGTTGTGCTGATTAAAGCAGCAATAAAACTGGCCTTCTTGAGACTAGTTGAGTATCTGGAGCATTAGCAATTGTGGGTTCGATTACAGGCTCAAAATGGCCAGAAACAAAGAACTATCTTCTGAAACTCGTCAGTCTATTCTTGTTCTGAGAAATGAAGGCTATTCCATGCGAGAAATTGCCAAGAAACTGAAGATCTCGTACAACGCTGTGTACTACTCCCTTCACAGAACTGCGCAAACTGGCTCTAACCAGAATAGAAAGAGGAGTGGGAAGCCCCGGTGCACAACTGAGCAAGAGGACAAATACATTAGAGTGTCTAGTTTGAGAAACAGATGCCTCACAGGACTCCAGGATGCTGACTTTCTAGGCAGAGTTGCAAAGAAAAAGCTATATCTCAGACTGGCCAATAAAAAGAAAAGATTAAGATGGGCAGTCTGAGATATGGCTTTTTCTTTGCAACTCTAATACTGCAAAACATTGTGGCAAAGCAATTCACTTTCTGTCCTTAATACAAAGTGTTATGTTTGGGGCAAATCCAATACAACACATTACTGAGTACCACTCTACATATTTTCAAGCATAGTGGTGGTGGCTGCATCATGTTATGGGTATGCTTGTAATCGTTAAGGACTGGGGAGTTTTTCAGGATAAAAAAGAAACTGAATGGAGATGAGCACAGGCAAAATCCTAGAGGAAAACCTGGTTCAGTCTGCTTTCCACCAGACACTGGGAGATGAATTCACCTTTCAGCAGGTCAATAACTTAAAACACAAGGCCAAATCTATACTGGAGTTGCTTACTAAGAAGACAGTGAATGTCCACGAGTTGCTGAGTTACAGTTTTGACTTAAATCTCCTTGAAGATCTATGGCAAGGCCTGAAAATGACTGTCTAGCAATGATAAACAACCACTTTGACAGAGCTTGAAGAATTTTCAAAAGAATAATGGGCAAATGTTGCACAATCCAGGTGTGGAAAGCTTTTAGAGACTTACCCAGAAAGACTGACAGCTGTAATCGCTGCCAAATGTGCTTTTACAAAGTACTGACTCAGGGGTGTGAATAGTTATGTAAATTAGATATTTCTGTATTTCATTTTCAACAAATGTGCAAAGATATTGGGGTATTGTGTGTAAATGGTGAGAAAAAATATATATTTAATCAATTTTGAATTCAGGCTATAACACAACAAAATGTGGAATAAGTCAAGGTGTATGAATACTTTCTGAAGGCGCTGTATATATACTGAACAAAAATATGCAACAATTTAAAAGATTTAGCTGAGTTACAGTTCATTTAAGGAAATCAGTCAATTTAAATAAATAAATTAGGCCCTAATCTATGGATCTCACATGACTAGGCAGCGGCGTAGCCATGGGTGGGCCTGGGACGGCATAGACCCACCCACTTGGGAGGCAAGCCCAGCCATTGGGAAGCCAGGCCCAGCCAATCAGAATGAGTTTTGCCCCACAAAAATGCAAATAGTCTGGGTAGCCATTTGATTAGATGTTCAGGAGTCTTATGGCTTGGGGGTAGAAGCTGTTTAGAAGCCTTTTGGACCATACTTGGCGCTCCGGTACCGCTTGCCGTCCACCAGGTACTGGAGCCAACCCCCACAACGTCGGGAGTCCAGGATGGATCTGACGGCATAGGCGGGGCTTCCCTCAACGTTCCAAGGGAGGCGGAGCGGTGTCGTTGGGGACGGCTTCAGCCAGGGGACCAGGAACCACCGGCCTGAGGAGGGAAACATGAAAAGAGGGTCATATCCGGTAGTTAGTAGGGAGCTGTAATCTATATGTTACCTCGTTGACCCTCCAGAGAACCTTGAACGGCCTCACAAACTGGGGGTGGAGTGGGAGGTTCCTGGTGGAAAGCCAGACACGGTCACCAGGATGGAACACGGGAGCCTCACTGCGGTGGCGATCCACTTGCTCCTTCTGGTGGCGGACGGCGCGCTGGAGCCTCACGTGGGCATCGTTCTAAACCTCTTCTGCCCGCCTGAACCACTCATCCACCACAGGAGCATCGGTCTTGCTCGGGGTCCACGGAGCCAGGGCTGGCTGATAACCCAGAACACACTGGAAGGGAGTCAGCCCGGTGAAGGAGTGACACAATTAATTCTGCGCGTACTCCGCCCAGGGAAGGAATCGAGCCCACTCCCCAAGCCGGTCCTGGCAGTGACTCCTCAGGAACCTCCCCAGCTCCTGGTTCATCCTCTCAACCTGCCCGTTAGACTGAGGCCAGTACCCAGAAGTGAGGCTGACAGTGAACCCCAGCATCTCCATGAAGGCTTTCCATACCTGTGACGTGATTTGGGGGCCATGGTTGGAGACAATGTCCTCCGGAAGGCCATAGTGCCAGAAGACCTGCTGAAACAGTGCCTCAGCGACCTGGAGAGCAGTAGGGATAACAGAGAGAGGGATAAAAAGGAAGGATTTAGAGAATCTGTCCACAACCACCAAAATGGTGGTAAAACCATCAGAGGAGGGGAGATCAGTAACTAAATCAATGGACAGATGAGACCAGGGACGCTGAGGCACGGGAAGGGGGTGTCCTGCTGGAGTGCACCTGGGAGATTTAGTTTGGGCATATACGGAACAGGAGTTGACGTAACGAGTGACATCCTGTGCCAAGGTGGGCCACCAGTACTTTTCGGAGATAGATTGAAAAAAGCGGGTGATACCTGGATGTCCAGCGACGACAGCTGTGTGCGCCCAGGTCAGCAGCCGATCCCTTATCCCCGTGGGAATGTAGATGCGCTCAGGAGGACAGGTAGTGGGTGTGGGTTCCCTCTCCAGGGCCTGGTGAATGTCCACATCTACGTCCCAGACCACGGGGGCTACGACTCGAGAGGGTGGAATTATGGTTGCACTCAGGGCAGGAACCTCTCCCGAATCATAGAGATGGGACAGGGCATCGGCTTTGGTGTTCTTTGAACCAGGGCGATATGTCAGAGTGAAGTCCAATCTAGTGAAAAAAAGGGCCCACCTTGTTTGACGCGGGTTCAGCCACCTTGCTGTCCATATGTACTCCAGCTTCCGATGTTCAGTGAGGATGAGAATTGGGTCCTTGGCGCCCTCCAGCCAGTGTCTCCAATCCTCTAATGCCAACTTCACCGCCAGGAGCTCCCAATCGCCGACGTCATAGTTCCTCTCTGCAGGAGACAGTTTCTTTGAGTAATATGCACATAGATTACATTTTTGTGGATTACCTTGTCGTTGAGACAGGACAGCCCCCACGTCCACTTCTGAAGCGTCCACCTCCAAAACGAAGGGCAGCGTAGGATCTGGGTGTTTGAGAACGGGACGGAGGTGAAACGTTCCTTCAGTAGGCGGAAGGCTACGTCGGCTGCAGGACTCCACCCCAACTTACGGGGACCACCCTTGAGGTGAGAGGAGAGGCAATGGAGCTAAAGTTCTTGATGAAACAGAGGAAGAAGTTGGCCCACCACAAAAACCGTTGTAACCCCTTTTATGGTGGTTGGGACTGGCCATGACCTGACAGCATCTACCATCTTACCGTCCATCATCACTCCTTGCATGCCGATCTGGTAACCCAGAAAGGAGACGGTTTCCTGATGGAATTGGCACTTCTCCACTTTGACATATAGGTGGTTAGTATACCGGCGACGTCGAGCACCGGATAAGGGGAGTGGGAGTAGACGTGACAGTATGGAACATTTCTGGGATATTTCAGCTCATAAAACATGGGACCAACACTTTACATGTTGCGTTTATATTTTTGTTCAGTGTATATATATTTATAAACTGGGTGGTTCGAGCCCTGAATGCTGATTGGCTGACAGGCGTGGTATATCAGACCGTATACCATGGGTATGACAAAACATGTATTTTTACTGCTCTAATTAGGTTGGTAACCAGTTTATAATAGCAATAAGACACCTCGAGGGTTTGTGGTATATGGCCAATATACCACGGCTAAGGGCTGTATCCAGGCACTCCGCGTTGCGTCGTGTGGTGCATAAGAACAGCCCTTAGCCGTGGTATATTGGCCATATAACACACCCCCTCGGGCCTTATTGCTTAAATATACACAATAATGAGTTTCACTCCCTTTTGCCCTCAGAACAGCCTCAATTCGTCGCGGCATGGACTCTACAATGTGTCGAAACAGCGATGCTGGCCCATGTTGACTCCAATACTTCCCACAGTTGTGTCAAGTTGGCTGGATGTCCTTTGGGTGGTGGACCATTCTTGATACATACGGGAAACTGTTCAACGTGAAAAGCCTAGCAGCATTGCAGTTCTTGACACACTCAAACTGGTGCGCCTGGCACCTACTACCATACCCCGTTCAAAGACAAATCTTTTGTCTTTACCATTCACCCTTTGAATGGCACACATACACGATCCATGTCTCATTTGTCTCAAGTTTTAAAAATCCTTATTTAACCTGTCTCCTCAACTTCATCTACACTGATTGAAGTGAATTTAACAAGTGACATCAATAAGGGATCATAGCTTTCACCCGGGTAGTCTTTTGGCATGGAAAGAGCAGGTGTTCCTAATGTTTTGTACACTCAGTGTACGTATACAGTACCTGTCAAAAGTTTGGACACACCTTCTCATTCAAGTTTTTTTTTTTTTACATTGTAGAATAATAGTAAAGACTTCAAAACTATGAAATAACACATGTGGAATCATGTAGTAACCAAAAAAGTGTTAAACAAATCAAAATATATTTTATATTTGAGATTCTTCGAAGTAGCCACCCTTTGCCTTGATGACAGCTTTGCACACTCTTGGCATTCTCTCAACCAGCTTCATGAGGTAGTCACCTGGAAAGCTTTTCCAACCGGAAAATCACCCTCGGTCTGGGGCTCCATGCAAGATCTCACCTCGTGGGGCATCAATGATCATGAGGAAGGTAAGGGATCAGCCCAGAACTACACGGCAGGACCTGGTCAATGACCTGAAGAGAGCTGGGACCACAGTCTTAAAGAAAACCATTAGTAACACACTACGCCGTCATGGATTAAAATCCTGCAGCGCACGCAAGGTCCCCCTGCTCAAGCCAGCGCATGTCCAGGCCCGTCTGAAGTTTGCCAATGACCATCTGGATGATCCAGAGGAGGAATGGGAGAAGGTCATGTGGTCTGATGATGAAGAAGGATGAGTACAACCCCTAGAACACCATCCCAACTGTGAAGCATAGAGGTGGAAACATCGTTCTTTGGGGATGCTTTTCTGCAAAGGGGACAGGACGACTGCATCGTATTGAGGGGAGGATGGATGGGGCCATGTATCACAAGATCTTGGCCAACAACCTCCTTCCCTCAGTAAGAGCATTGAAGATGGGTCGTGGCTGGGTCTTCCAGCATGACAACGACCCAAAACACACAGCCAGGGTAACTAAGGAGTGGCTCCGTAAGAAGCATCTCAAGGTCCTGGAGTGGCCTAGCCAGTCTCCAGATCTGAACCCAATAGAAAATCTTTGGAGGGAGCTGAAAGTCTGTATTGCCCAGCGACAGCCCCGAAACCTGAAGGATCTGGAGAAGGTCTGTATGGAGGAGTGGGCCAAAATCCCTGCTGCAGTGTGTGCAAACCTTGTCAAGACCTACAGGAAACGTATGATCTCTGTAATTGCAAACAAAGGTTTCTGTACCAAATATTAAGTTCTGCTTTTCTGATGTATCAAATACTTATGTCATGCAATAAAATGCAAATTAATTACTTAAAAATCATACAATGTGATTTTCTGGATTTTCTCTCTCACAGTTGAAGTGTACCTATGATAAAAATTACAGACCTCTACATGCTTTGTAAGTAGGAAAACCTGCAAAGTCGGCAGTGTATCAAATACTTGTTCTCCCCACTGTACATACCAGTGGCGGTCGGTGCCGTTTAAGATGAGGGAGGATTATTTTTTCTCATGAACATGGCCTTATTTCTATTACAGTATGTTGGATGACTGTCATTCATATTCCATTCACCCAGTTCAATGTAACATTGATAGGTTTAGGCTACTACATGATACTCAAATTTTCCCTATACCCATCATGAGGTTGCTACAACCTAGCCTATGAATGAAAGTTTACAACGTAGGTGCACACAGGCCGAGATAAATTTTTTAGGTGACAGACAGTGACACATTCAATACCGCCTTACACACTCTTGCCTGCATCTAGCTGATATAGGGTGTAATCATTAGTCCAGTTTCTATTGGACAAATTCAGGTATGTTTATCCCCGTTTCGTTCCATTTAAGAAATGTTTTTCAACAGAATCGGCGGAATGAATACACCCCTGATCACGCGTAAACACAGTTCACTTTCATAACAGCCACATTGTATTCCTTTTTGCATCTATGTGCTCTCCCCCTCTCACCTTTTCCCTTCGCTTGTGGATTTCAATGCACAACACATCAGCTGTATGTGACCAGGCGAAGAAACCTTTCCAAGCCAAACCATATCATAACCACTACACACAACCTACATCGTTGTCACCATATTAGCTAAAGTAATGTCATAGTCAACATAGCTAATAGAACTAATGTGTTAGTAAACCCGCTACAATCATGCAGTAACTTTACAGTGTACAATCAGTAAGCAGTTTAGCACTTAAACCGGCGGGCACCGGTGGCAATACATTTGTAAAACCAAAAGCTTACCTTGACTTGGAAGAGTTTCAGTGTTGTGTTGGATAGTCATAGCCAGCTAGCTAACATAGCATCCCTCTGTTTGAGCAGAGTGTTTAAATAGGCTAACTGAAATATATACAGTACCAGTCAAAAGTTTGGACACACCTACTCATTCCAGAGAATGTAGAATAATAGTGAAGACATCAAAACTATGAAATAACACATATGGAATCATATAGTAGCCAAAAAAGTGTTAATCAAATCAAAATATATTTTAGGTGTTAGATTCTTCAAAGAAGCCACCATTTGCCTTGATGACAGCTTTGCACACTCTTGGCATTATCTCAACCACCTTCATGAGGTAGTCACCTGGAATGCATTTCAATTAACAGGTGTGCCTTGTTAAAAGTTAATTTGTGGAATTTCTTTCCATCTTAATGCGTTTGGGCCAATCAGTTGTTGTGACAAGGTAGGGGTGGTATACAGAAGATAGCCCTATTTGGTAAAAGACCAAGTCCATATTATGGCAAGAACAGCTCAAATAAGCAAAGAGAAATGACAGTCCATCATTACTTTAAGACATGAAGGTCAGTCAATCCGGAAGATTTCAAGAACTTTGAAAGTTTCTTCAAGTGCAGTCGCAAATATCATCAAGCGCTATGATGAAACTGGCTCTCATGAGGACCGCCACAGGAAAGGAAGACCCAGAGTCACCTCTGCTGCAGAGGATAAGTTCATTAGAGTTACCAGCCTCAGAAATTGTAGCCCAAATAAATGCTTCACAGAGTTCAAGTAACAGACACATCTCAACATCAACTGTTCAGAGGAGAATACGTGAATCAGGCCTTCATGGTCGAATTGCTGCAAGGAAACCACTACTAAAGGACACCAGTAAGAAGAAGAGACTTGCTTGGGCCAACAAACACGAGCAATGGACTTTAGACCGGTGGAAAATCTGTCCTTTGGTCTGATTAATCCAAATGTGAGATTTTTGGTTCCAACCGCCATATCTTTGTGAGACGCAGAGTAGGTAAACGGATGGCCTCTGCATGTGTGGTTCCCACCGTGAAGCATGGAGGAGGAGGTGTGATGGTGTGGGGGTGCTTTGCTGGTGACACTGTCTGTGATTTATTTAGAATTCAAGGCACACTTAACGAGCATGGCTACCACAGCATTCTGCAGCGATACGCCATCCCATCTGGTTTGCGCTTAGTGGGACTATCACTTGTTTTTCAACAGGACAATGACCCAACACACCTCCAGGCTGTGTAAGGGCTATTTGATCAAGGAGAGTGATGGAGTGCTGCATCAGATGTCCTGGTCTCCACAATCACCCGACCTCAACCCAATTGAGACTGCAGATTGAAGGAAAAGCAGCCAACAAGTGCTCAGCATATGTGGGAAGTCCTTCAAAAATCTTGGAAAAGCATTCCAGGTGAAGCTGGTTGACAGAATGCCAAGAGTGTGCAAAGCTGTCATCAAGGCAAAGGGTGGCTACTTTGAATAATCTAAAATATATCTTGATTTTTTAAACACTTTTTTGGTTACTACATGATTCCATGTGTTATTTCATAGTTGTGATGTCTTCACTATTATTCTACAAGGTAGAAAATAGTAAAAAATAAAGAAAAACCATTGAATGAATAGGTGTGTACAAAAAACGCTTAGGCGGTCCAGCTAAGGATTTCAACAGCATAAAAATCCATGATGTTGTAAAGAAACACTACACACGTGGACAACAGTCTGCCTGGGTTAGAGGTCATAGTCCCATTAGCATCTGATTGAGTCCTGAAATCCCTCAAACACACAAACGGCTGTCATTCAGACATGCATATTCTGACTTGACAATTACTGAACCACCAGTATACTTCTCAGCAACTGTTGTGTTAGAAATGGTTGTGGTAGAATTGTGAGGAATAAACTCGCTGAATTAAAACATTCTGTTAACATGCCTACATCACAAATACTGTTTGAAATACAGCACTGTCATTATCTCAATTAAGCTTCATAGAGCATAAAATGGAGTTGTTTCCAGCTGCTGCTGGAGGAATAAAGCTGTGGGGTACATGCTTACAAACAGTAGAAATATTACAGATAAGGGAAATTAAACTGTTCAATGGATAATATGCATATCTAATCAATGACAAGTATTAAGTCTGAATGTCAGGGAATTACTGGTAAATCTTGGATCTGTCTCTGAAGCAAGTGTATCCTTTCTCTTACAGTTCTAAATTGTAGGTGTAATGTGACCAACAGTCGGTGTGATGAGAATGCTGTGTGCAGGTAAGGTGAAATATGATGCTGAACAACATCTGAACAGTGATATGTATCTAACTAAAGCATATTTCAAAAAATATATATTTGAATATGTTGACAGGGAAAAGATGGGAATAGCCGGTACACCGGTAGTGATGACCCCATCGTATTTCAGATATGAACATGTTAACTATGTCAAGCATACAGTAGATGACAATACCCTGATGTAGACAGCTTGGCTGTCGAAACGTTGTTATTCAATTATTGCATCTGAGCTCCTAGAGCGCCTCTCCTTTTCTTTTTCAAGCATATATGACAAACCTATAAAGCCATCATTAAGGCCCATAATTTTCTGGTGTCAAGCCTATGTCCTTGTCACTCTCTAGAGAAGGTCACACTCAAAATATATGAGTGTTTCTACGAAAGAACAGATAAAGTACCGTACAGAGCAGGGCATTGCAGAAGTTATTCTGTTAAGTATGGGCGCCCTCCTGTGTCCATCGTGGAGTGGCTCTACATTATTTGATAATGCCACTGTATATAATAGTATATATATATCCCTTCTCAAGAGGCTGTGTTGGCTACAGAGTTGAGAGCTGGTCTAACTGGCAGTGCTGTATTTCAGGTGTGACCCGGGTTGGGAGGGGCAGCAGTGCGAAGTCTGTGTTAGAATGCCAGGCTGTGTCCATGGATCATGTCACCAACCCTGGCAATGCACATGCGAGCCTGGATGGACGGGACGCTTCTGCGACAAAGGTGACAGAAAATATTTGTATGTATCAGACAATCATAATCTTATTTGTTGAGTGAGTGGTAGCACAGTCCTTTTTCACCACTTCTCTCCTCTGCTTCAGATATCCATGTGTGTACAAATGAGGCACCTTGTCAGAACGGTGCAACTTGTTACACCAACATTTCAGGGGAATACTCCTGCCTCTGCCCCAAGGGATTTTACGGGAGGAACTGTGAGCACAAGACAGGACCCTGTCATAAGATCGGCAGGTGAGTTCAATTACCAACACACCAGAAAACAATCTATGGAACAACTTTGTCTCAGGTCTACTGCTTCTGTCTTAATCAAAACAAATCACTGTGAACTACAAGTTCAATCCCAAACAGACTCAACATACACGTGTATAGGAATGAGTGGTCATTTCAGACTCTCAAACGGGAAACTAGCTGCACTATGTGTGTGAATTTCAATAATCCGTTTTTCTCTAAGAGCCTGTTTGATGAGTGTATTTTAGTGTGTGTGTGTTTTGACTGTGGCATCCCAGCTGGTCCCCTGATGGCAGTCAAACACATGCAGACTGGCACTGGCCGTGTAGCAGCCTAGTCAATTTGTATACACTGTAGAGCAATCATGTGATTTAATGGGCTCAATATTGGCCAAGTGAGTGGCCTGTAGTGCTAACAAACACATTGTAGCCAGGCATCTACACTACAGCCCCCATGGAGTCCCCAAATCACTGGCTAAGCGGTTACCAGGGAAACCATGCAGACCAAAGCACAGATTTGTCTTAAGGTGCCAAATCAATGCCTGATTGAATGGAAACAGTGATCATCAGAGTAAGCGCCACACATTTACTTACAAATAAGTTGGAGGCTCAGGTCAATATGAAAAGGCTTGGGTTAAGTAATCAATTCAGCATTGAAAATCTATTCAGTTATTCAGAACATTTCCCTCAGGGTTTTTAGTGCTTATGTTTAAATTTTTTAGGTCTCCATGTAAGAATGGCGGGCAGTGTGAGGACAGTGGTGGCTATGCACCAGAGCTCTCCTGCCGCTGCCTGGCAGGCTTCACCGGGCAGCGTTGCGAGACCAACATGGACGACTGCCTGATGCGCCCCTGTGCCAACGGTGCCACCTGCCTGGATGGCATCAACCGCTTCTCCTGCCTCTGTCCCGAGGGCTTCACGGGCCGGTTCTGCACCATCAACCTGGACGACTGTGCCAGCCAGCCCTGCCTCAACGGAGGGCGCTGCCTGGACCGCGCCAGCACCTTCCACTGCCTCTGCAAACCTGGGTTCACTGGCAGGACCTGCGAGGTTCCCCTACGGAGCCCAGAGAGCCAAGCACCCATCAGGAGCTCCCATGGCTGGGCTGGGGGAGGAGAGGGCTGGGGTAGGGTGACTCAGGCCAGGCCAGACCAGATCACAACCGGCGGGAACCACTCTCAGGGCAGCAGTAACAGTAATAGTGGAGACCGGCTGCTGAAGATCTCTGTGAAGGAGGTGGTAACCCAGCGCGGGTCGTCTGGCCTGTCGGAGGTGCAGCTCATTACCTTGCTGGTGCTGGGGGGCATGACGCTGGGCGTGGTGTCGCTCACAGCTGGCCTGGTGCTGAGGGGGCATTGGCAGGACCGCTGTGCCAGCTGCCGGTGCTGTCCCACCCCCCGCCTGCACCCGCTGAGACACAGAGACCGCCAGCCGACTCCGCAGAGCCACCTAGTCACAGTGGAGCAGGAGTGTAAGATCAGCTTCCTGCACACGCCCACGGCCCCCGAACTGGAGAAGAAGAAACTGAACACTAAGGTGATTTAGGCTAGGTTTACCATCTCCACAGCCCTGAACACAGGACAGGAGCAGAGAACAGACTGCTTTCAGCAGAGGGAAAGCCATGCTTTTAATCCCAGCCCTGTCTCCATGACTGATTGTCTTCAGTACTGACAGTCAAAATACAGACAACATACCAATCTAGGAATCGATACCTAGAAAGACGCAGGACCAAGAAGAGACCAGTGGGTCTGTTCAAGGAGAAATGGTAGGAGAATGTGTTTGACACTCCTAACAAAAATAGCATAGTCCTAATATGACGGATTATTGCTTGACCACAGGGGTAAGAGGTGCATAATTACAAAATATACTCAAGTCTTTTGGTGACCTGTTAGAAATTTGTCACAGAAAATGAATGTGTAATTTGTCCATTCTCTAAATCTGCTGTTGCGGTTACTTGGCATAAACTGCATGTAAGATAGGCGTACTGACAGACAGCTTTGGAATGTTAGCCGAGACAATGCCTTTTTCATGTCAACCAAATTGGTGTACAGGTATTTGTCAATGCTGTTCTAGTCACAATATTAGGCCAAAATGTTAGACTTGAATGCAGATGTGCAATCTGCCCATATATTTCCAAATGGGCTCAGACATCAAAGCCTTGGAACAAATTCCCTGCTTAGAGCTCTGCAGTGAGCAGAATTCAGACATCCAGACAGAAAAAATATGACCTGAGTTCATGTTATGTTTCAACAATGTACTTTTTATACGACTGCCTAAAGAACTGCAACATGTACTTTGTTAAATTATAATTGTATTATTTTGTAAAAAGTAATGTGTCTACTATTATGTCAACATTGAAACCTAATTGTGATCTGCTATTGCTGTATGGTGGTTACAGATGTAGGATCTTAATTTGAGCCAGTTTGCGACAGTAGGAAAATAATCCTGCGCAACAGGAAATGTGAATTATGTGGATTATAATTAATGGACATTTTTGTAGTGGTTGTGAAATGTCAAAGTGGAAATTAAACTTCAGAAGCCTTTTTAAACCTCAAATACACAAGTTTTACATGTCCTGCATTGCAGCAAAGTTCCCCTGAAACAGGGTGATCCAATTCCCTTCCCTTTCCTAAATTAAGATCCTACATCTGTAATAGCAAATAAAAAACTGTATTTTGAAGCTGTAAATGTAATTTATTTTCTGCAATTTAATGTGGAATGTGTATGTGTTCTTTTTTGCAATGAGTCTTATTTTTTTTATACTGAATTGTGTGCAATAAAGCTGTGAACTATTTCCTGTACACGGTGCTGGTATAACTGCCTAAATGCTTCCACTTCAGTGTAGATATGATCCTGACAACAGGTATAGAATATCTAAGAACACATACCTATGGTATGTGTTCTGTCTTTATCCCTAAATTACACGACAACAGTGTGACAGCTCAAATCAATCAAGCAATTGAAAACCACACATTTATCTTTGACACAAACCTGGTTTCCATCCAACCATTTTATGCGAGTACAGTTGTGGTCAAAAGTTTTGAGAATGACACAAATATTAATTTTCACAAAGTCTGCTGCCTCAGTTTTTATGATGGCAATTTGCATATACTCCAGAATGTTATGAAGAGTGATCAGATGAATTGCAATTAATTGCAAAGTCCCTCTTTGCCATGAAAATTAACTTAATCCCAAAAAAAAATGTCCACTGCATTTCAGCCCTGCCACAAAAGGACCCGCTGACATCGTGTCAGTGATTCTGTCGTTAACACAGGTGAGAGTGTTGACGAGGACAAGGCTGGAGATCACTCTGTCATGCTGATTGAGTTAGAATAACAGACTGGAAGCTTTAAAAGGAGGGTGGTGCTTGAAATCATTGTTCTTCCTCTGTTAACCATGGTTACCTGCAAGGAAACATATGCCGTCATCATTGCTTTGCACAAAAAGGGCTTCACAAGCAAGGATATTGCTGCAAGTAAGATTGCACCTTAATCAACCATTTATCAGATCATCAAGAACTTCAAGGAGAGAGGTTCAATTGTTGTGAAGAAGGCATCAGGGCGCCCAAGAAAGTCCAGCAAACACCAGGACCATCTCCTAAAGTTGATTCAGCTGCGGGATCGGGGCACCACCAGTGCAGAGCTTGCTCAGGAATGGCAGCAGGCAGGTGTGAGTGCATCTGCACACACAGTGAGGCGAAGACTTTTGGAGGATGGCTTGGTGTCAAGAAGGGCAGCTAGGAAGCAACTTCTCGCCAGGAAAAACATCAGGGACAGACTGATATTCTGCAAAAGGTACAGGGATTGGACTGCTGAGGACTGGGGTAAAGTCATTTTCTCTGATGAATCCCCTTTCCGATTGTTTGGGGCATCCGGAAAAAAGCTTGTCCGGAGAAGACAAGGTGAGCGCTACCATCAGTCCTGTGTCATGCCAACAGTAAAGCATCCTGAGACCATTCATGTGTGGGGTTGCAAATATTGACTTTGCATAAACTTAATGTAATTGTCAATAAAAGCCTTTGACACTTATGGAATGCTTGTAATTATACTTCAGTATACCATAGTAACATCTGACAAAAATATCTAAAAACACTGAAGCAGCAAACTTTGTGAAGACCAATACTTGTGTCATTCTCAACTTTTGACCACGACTGTACATGTCGACAGGCCTGATGCCAGTAAACTTAACAAATTTCGACAAAACTAAATACGCTAGACAAGGTGGGATCTTTTTGTCTGTAAAATTAATTATGCGAGAAATGCCGGCGGAAACGCCTTTATGTCCAAATATTGAAAACCATTATATCGAAGTAAACTTGGGAGTCACGCGATGATATGCTGTGTGGTCCTTACGACTCAGGAAAGCAAGCAGTTTTATTAGGTTATAAATGAAATAAATTATGATGAACTTCACAGGGTGATGAAAGTGCACAGTGGTGAGCTTGATGCTCCTTTCCAATAAATGGCGAGGGTCTTATTCTGGTGACATGATGATCGATGCTTTGCTGCCGTTTGACAAATAAAAATAATCTCGCTCTTTTTGTCCATAATGAATGAGCTCATCATGTTGGCTATACCCGCACTGTATCTGCACGCTGTTTGCTAAAGCACACGTGCCAAGACCAGAGTGGGCACATTCACTATATAACGCGACAAAACCACCAGTAGAGTTTAAACTGCGATGCAAACCCATTTAACTTCGATGTTTTATTCGGTACAAGTATAACCGCAAAAGTTATTTTATGTGAACTACAATATTAACGCAGTCTTTTATACACAAGATGGAAACATTTCTGGTAGGAAAATGCGCATACTGTTTTAGTGGATTTTAGAATATTCACATGAAAATCTGTCGCCAATTGGATGTAAATTTACCTACTGTCCCTTTGCTACAAAGTGTCAAATCTAAAAAAGCATTCTGAAACTCTATTTTCCAGGAGAAAACCACCAATGGTTCAGACTCAGCTCTTCATGCCACTACTGTAATAGGTGGCCTGCAGTAGTTTTTAGCAAGACATTGTTTTTACATAATTCAACACTTACCCGTGTAGCTTTCCTGAATCTCAGGGCTCTTATCCCACCATCAATATTTCCTCAGCTCCTAAACCCCTGAATTTGCCAAATCATGCCTGGCGAAGGTGAAATGTTACCTGACCAGCAGAGGAAGTTATGGAGATCCCAAGAATAACCTGAAACTTGAGTCCGCACTTCCTGTGGGAAAGAGCTCTAGACAGTTTCCCTCCTCAGGTTCACCACACAAGAGAGTGATCGAGCTAATCTGTAACATGCATGTCATCACAACACAAGTTACCATAAAATAGTATTGTTGCAACACACCAAAATTAAAATCATTTTACCAATTGAAAAGTCAGGGATCAGACCATGCAAAAATTATATTTAAAAAAAATGGAATAACATGAGAATCCCTAAACTAGCAGCCGCACAAGGTAGTGGAGTTGTCCTTGCTCTCATTGAGGTTTTCACTGACCTAAGGCCAGTTATTCTGCCTAATCACCACTGATGAGGATTTATCCCTGAAGCAGATGGTTTGCTACGGGAGCCTAATGGTGTGCCTCCAACTGGGTACAGCTTCATCATCACTGTGCTCTGTCAACTGGTACTGATGTGAAACAAATGGGAACTGTTTACTGATGTATGATGGTCCATAAACAGTCATGCATTCAGATCCCATCAAATATGAGCTCGTGAACCTGAGAAGACCAATCAAGTTGTTTTAGGAGAGAGGTGCAACATCCCTCCTTGGCTGATATTACTCCTCTAAGGCCTGTTATTGGCAGCAATGAAAATGAATGCCTTAACTTTGTAATGAACACAGACAGTTATGATACTCAAGACTGCCAGAGACGGGCCTAGTGTGAACCAAAAACGATTTATTCTTTCTCTAAAGCTGGCTGTTTCCTTGGTCACCTGTCACAGTTTAGGAATGAAACAAAGACATGGAGAGGATTATGATACAGTTTCAGAGGTGATGGAAGTGCAGAGTGCCGACAACTGGGCCTGTGTGGGCAAGAACGCTTGTGCCACAATGGCAGCTGCCTCTTTAGGGACACATGGCAGAAATGTATTCCCCTGTGTAGAAAGGCCTCTGCCATCCTTCCACAGCTCCGCTGCCTGTTAACATTCAAGTCAAGCTGGCACCACTCCACTATTCCATCTATCCTTATAGGCATACAGAGTTCTAAGGTAGTAGTCTAAATAGAACCCAAGATTGAAATACTGAATGAGAGAAAGTGTTATGATTGCCTTAAAGAGAGGTAAATCATTCACCTACTCTGGTACTAAGCACATTTTCTTGTTGTGTCAGTGAGAAATAGCTCACAAGCTCAATATGTCAACCATCTGTCAATTTTAGGATATCATTCATTTTTATGTGAAAAGAGCCCTGCTTGGTTTAGGGAGCAAGTGACACCCAGTGGACAAAGAGGTACCTGCATCTACTGATTACCACATGAAGCAAACCACAATGAGCAAAATAGCCCATGCACCATGGATGTGAGCTTTATGATTTAGATTTAC